AAAATACCAAAGAGATGTATGTAAAAAAAAAAAGTATAAAAAATTTCTAATCAGCAGAAAGAAAATAGTTCAAAGAAGTGGCAATTTACTGTAACAGCTAAAACAGAAAGCAGCTGAAATTAGCAGAATGCAACTGAAACTATTTTAAAACCTTAAATTAGTTGTAAGAAACAGAAAAAAGCTGAAAAAGTAAAAATGAGCAGTAAAGTAGCAGGAATGAGCAGAAATATAACTGAAATAAACTAAAAGCTAAAGTTGCAGAAACAAGTTGAATATAGTACACAGACAGTGTTTGTGGTATAAAAAAGTCAAATTAGTCAAAAATAAAGAATGAATGTTCAAAACAGTGACAATATGTTGCACAACAACTGAAATGGCCAAAATAAAACAGCTAAATATGGCTAAAATGCTGAAATTATCACAAAGAAGCAGGAGACATGTTTGAATTAAGCAGAAAGAAGCTAAAACGGCCACTGAAATATGAATTTATCTGGAAAAGTTTTTAGCTATTAACAGCTGAACAGTAACTCAACTTGCTGAAAACAGCTGAAATGATCAGAAAGCATCTGAAAGAAGCACAAAAATGCTTAAATTAGCAGAAAGAATCCAAAAAGTAGACATTAGCAGAAAAATAGCAAAAACGGAGTACAATTTTAGCTGAAATAGCAGAAAAAAAGTTAAAATTTGGGAAAAAATGATCTAAAATTAGCCCTATAGAAAGAGCATAATCAGAACAAAATGTATAAAATACAGTAAATATTTATAATCATTTTGAAGGGTTTTAAGGATGTTGAAAACAACTGCATTCATTTTCAATGGGAAAATGTGGCCAAAAAAGTAAAGTAGCTAAAAAAAAAAACAACTATAAATATCTGAAATACTAAAAGTCATAGCCACAATGTCCTGAAGGAGAGGAACATTTGATATATGAATTGTTGAACAAAAATGGTTGAACAGGATAGGTGCTGAAAAAGAAGAAAAAATGATCTCAGTGGTGTTGATGCTTGTAAAGCATTCACACACCATAAAATGTTAATGTTGAACAAATTGGGATGCACAAGGCTACCTGTTTCAGCTGCATCGACTGTACATCTCCACGGTCATCTTCATACGTCTTTGTGTCCTGTTGGAGTGTGACAAGGTGTGTGTCGTGTGAAGGTGTGCTGAATTGTATACAAACCAATAGGGTGTTAAAACTGTATACATTTATACTTCGATCCAACCAATAAGTAGGTAATTTTTATTTGTGTAGCACTTTTCACAGCCAAGGAACCACAACGTGCTTCCCAATAAAACAGAATAGAGCATAAAATACACTTTGACAAACGATAAAGCATTTAAAAGACAACATTAAAACTCATACATGTTAAAAGCCTGCTTAAAAAGGAGAGTTTTTAGCTGCTTTTTAAAAATCTCCACTGAACTCACAGCTCTTAGAGATTGAGGTAATGTGATTCAAACTTGAGGAGCTACAACCTGAAATGCTCTGTCTCCTCGTGTCTTTAGACAGGACAGAGGAACAAGTAGCTGATTACTGGAACTAAACCCACATGTACAGCGGGTAAAATAAGTATTGAACACGTCACCATTTTTCTCAGTAAATATATTACTAGAGGTGCTAATGACATGAAATTTTCACCAGATGTTGGTAACAACCCAAGTGATCCATACATACAAAGAAATCAAACCATAAATGTCCAGAAATGAAGTTATTTGTAATAATGTGGAATGGCACAGGGAAAGAGTATTGAACACATGAAGAAAGGGAGGTGTAAAAAGGCATGGAAAGCCAAGACACCAGCTGAACTCTCTCAGTAACTAGAAAGCAAGCCTGCCCCTTGTCAGTGCAAGTTAATATCAGCTGGTTCAGTCCCAAATGATGGCCAGGTATCACA